AGAATTAATTGCCACCCTTACAATCATAATATGAAACGTAAGTCAGGAGTCCTCGATGGCTCTTACACCGGGGAGGTCTGAGCACATCAGCTCCCAAAGCACAGCAGAGCCTGTGGTTTTTTACTGGCACATCTGAGCCACTTTCTGTCAGCCCCACACTGAGGAGGAATAGCAGGGCCCTTGGGCACGATTTTACCTGGCTGGGGGCAGGTAACCATTACCTCTTTCCAGCACCCACTGGAATAGTAGGGGAATGCACATCCATCTCCAGGTCTGGCCTTCCTTATAAATGCAACACGTCACACCCCTGTCCCTGCACATATTTCCCCTGTCTCCCATACAGGGTTAGGCTTGGGCCATGCTGTCCCAGAAACCTTGCCAGTGCCAGAGGCCTAGAGCGGCGGTGGGGGGGGCGGGCCTGAGCCTGCCGGCGAGTCCTCCAGAAGGAAGGATGCCCAGCTGGTCATTGGCAGGCATCAAGTGCCCCCCTGCAGGGTGGGCTGATGGGGTCCTGCCCCCTGTGTCTGCCTGTCTCTCTGCAGACCTGACCCCACATGGTCCTTACCTGCCGCCTCTGGAACTGCTGCAGGAACCCCACGATCTCCAGGTGACACATACAAGGAGAGATGCCTGAGGAGGTGGGGCTGGGCAGCGGGACAGGAGTCATGGAGAGGGAAACCAAGGCAGAAGCTCATGCCTTAGCCACTTGGGGCTGTGTGCCAGAGCCAGGTTCCTCTCAGTCTCCTGTCAGTGCCCTTGGCACAGGGCAGGCACACACCTCTGACCTCACCATTCCAGGCCTGGAATCAGTTCAGGTGTTCCCAGGGCCTTCATCTGATGAGTGAACTTAGCTTGCATGAATGACACTAAAACAACGGGGTATAGGGAGGACACAGCAGTGATGCATTTTTTCAGGGCCCCACTGCAGTCTTCATCCGCATGAATGTCATTTCCATCATCTGCACCTTTTTCTCCTGCTGTTTTCCCTTCCTTGTGCCACACTGTTTCCTGTGTTACAACTGCGTGTTCAGAACCATCACCGCAGCGGCCACGGCCACTCCACCAGCGGGTCTGTGATCACCTCCTCATCTATTCTGCCTTTGTTCACCATCTCTGCTGCTCTAAAGTGTGTTCGCTGCTGGTATTTAATGCTGAAGCAATGGACTTTCTTTCTTTCCACAGCTTCTCCCCTTTATTTTCTTAGGATACATTTCCAAGGCTTTGATTAGGATGGAAGGACACTATAGAATATAAGGCTCTTGGCACACTGAGCCAAATCTTGGTACAATTAAAGGGACCCTGATGACACATACCACTTTTCCCCCAGTGGTGTGTGAGAAGCTGCCCTTGCGTGCCTGCCAGCACTGGACATTTAATTAAGTCCCATTCATTTCATGGGTAGGAAGCAGAACCCCACAGGAGCCACACGTGCACGTCTAGTTCACGCGCACCGAGCCACATGTCCCAACGAGGCAGACAGAGGGAGAAATGGAAAGGTCTCTCTACAGGGTACAGGCAGAGCGCTCCCCACCCCTGCTGAGCCCCTCATGCTGAGAGCCCATCTGTGCAGCCCCCAAGACTCCCAGCCCCTTCATCACCTGTGCCATTCAGGCCATGTGCACAAAAACACAGATGGGAGACTTAGCAGGATTTAAAGACCTTCGAGGGATATTGTAGCAATAAACACTTGTCCCATCATCATTGCCTTTTTTTAAAAAGTGTGATAAAATACACATAAAATGTATCATTTTAACCCTTTTTAAGTATACACTTCAGTGGCATTAAGTACCTTCATATCATGGTAGAATCGTCATGTCCATCCCTCTCCAGAAATCTTTTCTTCTTCCCGACGTGAGATTCTGTGCCCACTAAACACTGACGCACCGTTCTGGTGTCCCACAGCCCAGCCCCTGGAACTCACTTTTCCACTGTCTGCCTCTGCGAATGTGACACTAGGTACCTACACAAGTGGAGTCATTCGGTGTTTGTCCCTTTGTGTCGGGGTTATTTCACTTAGCTTGATGTCCTCAGGTTCATCCGTGTTGCCGCAGTCTCAGGATCTCCTTCCTCTCTAAGGCTGGCTCCTTTCCCGCTCTGTGGAGAGGCCACGTTTTCTCCAGCCATTCATCAATGATGGACACTGGTCTGCTTCATCATTGGTTTTTAAAAATTATTTCTGTACATCCAAATAATAGAATACTGTGAGGTGATTTTTATAAAAGTGAATGAGGCATCCCTGCCCTGCCATGGAAAGGTCCTCAAAATGCATTGTTAGTGAAAACAGCCCAGTGGGGGAGAGTGTGGACAATATGCTACCTTTTGGTGTAATCCAAACAGAAAAGGGGTATGTATTTACATTTCCTTGTCCTTGTATAAAGAAGCTATAGAAAAACAAGGAGTAATAAAAGCAGTCACTTATGGGTGGAGTGAGGGGCCCTCATTGCATGGCTGTTTTTGCATGCAAGGAACATGATGCTCCGATCACTCTACACACTCCCTGACCCCAACTCAGTCACTCCCCACTACCCCTCTAGGAGCCACTGCCTGGCCCCTGACACCTCAGCATATACTCCCATGATCACACCACGTTGCCCCAGCTCCACCGAGCCTCTGCACATGCCGGTCGCTCTGTCTGGCACATCTGTCTGTAGATTCCTTCCTGCCCTCAGCCCTCAATGCAGCCACCCCCACCCAACTCATTCCAGGGAAGCTGGAGCTCCTGCTGGAGGGAGGAGGAGCTGGCTGTCCCTGGTGGGTGAAGGAGCAGCAGTGTCCTCTGTGCCCTCAGCTGTCCTCATGCAGAGGCCAGAGGTGGGCACCTGCCCTGTCTGAACAAACATGCCTGCAAGGAGGGGTGGGAGTGGTGGAGGCACCCCCTTGGTGGCAGCAGCTCTGACCCCACTTCTTCTTAGGGGGTCTCCCAGGACATCCACCACAGTGAGCATAGAGAGTGGTCACCCCCTTTCCCACACTGACATGCCTCCAATGGGGCAGTCTACACAGCTCTGCCTCCCCTACCAACTCCCTGAAGTCGGGCTTTGTCCCCATTACCTGGAATGGAGCCAGGAGTCGCTCCATGCATACATACATGAATGGGTGAGCCTTGGCAACAGCAGGAGAAAGCTGAAGGCTGCAGCACAAGGATAAGCCCATTCATTGAGACCCACACCTGGACCCTGCTGGTGACACGATGGGTGGTTGGAAGTCAGAGGGCCACTGGCATGCCAGCCCCTCTCTGGGCATCCCTGTGGGTCATAATAGTTCAGCAACAACCACCACCCCTGGCTCCAGCATAAGTCAGTCACTCCAGCGCAGAGCTGGATCTGAACACTGGCCCCACCTCCCATGTGCCCAGCACCTGGTCCCAGGCTAGGCCCCAGGTCCCCTGGGAGCCTCCTGGCTGTCTCTTAAAGTGGTACCCTCCTGGCCTCCTTCAGAAAGGCCCCTGCATGAGGCCGGGCGCGGTGGCTCAAGCCTGTAATCCCAGCACTTTGGGAGGCCGAGGCGGCTGGATCATGAGGTCAAGAGATCGAGACCATCCTGGTCAACAAGGTGAAACCTCGTCTCTACTAAAAATACAAAAATTAGCTGGGCATGATGGTGCATGCCTGTAGTCCCAGCTACTCGGGAGGCTGAGGCCGGAGAATTGCTTGAACCCAGGAGGCGGAGGTTGCAGTGAGCCGAGATCGTGCCATTGCACTCCAGCCTGGGCAACAACAGCAAAACTCTGTCTCAAAAAAAAAAGAAAGGCCCCTGCATGGCACCTGCCACCATCCTGCAGACGCTCCCAAAGCCACCTTCACCCCTGCCACTGGCTCGTCAAGAAAATTAGGCTGAGATCTCAGGCAGGCCCAACATTGCAGAATGAACAGTGCCAGGTGTCCAGCAGGAGACAGCAGAACTCCCAGGCTCACAGGTTTTCTGTCTTGTGGAATCGGGCTGAGCTGCCGGGCCTTGGGCAGGAGCCAGAGCAGCACGCACCCTGCAGCTGGCCCATCCCACAGCTGGCCTCCTCCCACTGAGCATCTGCAGCTTCCCATATGCCCACCTGTACAGCAGCCTCCCCCAGGACAGACAGGAGGTGGTTTTGTGAAATTTTCGTTTCATCGGCTGAGAATTGAACACTTACAGCGTTGCCAGAGAGGCAAAAATAAGCTATGTCTGACACCATGGCCAGGACTGTCTGGGCTGCTGTCCACACCAATGCCTGGGTCCCTCCCATGCTGCAACCCAGTCCCAGCACCTCCCACACCCACATGCCCATGGGACAGCCCTCTGAAGGCAGTAAGGATGGACAGGTCACATGGTTCACATCACGTAGAGCCCAGAATGCCAGGTTAAGGAAGATAGCAGTTTTGACTGTACCTGAGAGAACTCCAACTTAAACAGGCACATATAATGGAGAAGTCCACTGAACAGCTTCAGGCACAGCAGGATTCGAGGCCTCCCGGCGCCGTGCTAGGAATGAACCCACTTTCCTGGCCCCTCATGGTGCCACAATGGCCCCAGTAGTGTCAGCATACATTCCACCAGCTCAAGGACTCCAGGGGGAAAGAAAGCCTCCAAGTACCACAAAAGTTCTGGGATTGCAGTGGAGCACCCCCAATTTGGATCGGACCAATCCCTGAACCAATCTTTGTGGCCAGAAATAGGGGGATTAGGCAGATTATCCAGGCTTGTGAAAAATAACCTTTGTGAAGGGGTGTGGGGGGGCAGAATCTAGAGGAGGTCTGCCCCTGAGTGGGGACCCCAGAGTAAAGAAGACATGGGTTTTGCAGGAGAGTTGAGAGCCTGTTTGAGGAAGAAGAATGGAGGCTGTGCTATGAGGAAGGGGGTACATGGCAGCACTCCCAGAGTGACCACTGGATTCAAGCTGGCACGAAGTGGTGGTGGGGGGAGACTTTCCAGCCAGGAGCCTGGAACCAGCAGCTCCTACTCAGCTGCACCCCTCAACTCAAGTGTGCCCCCACTCAGGTCCCCATTGCTCCTTGCCATTGCAGGCAGGCATGCCACAGACGCTGAGTGCCTCCGACATGGTCACCCCAGGCAGCCTCAACCCACCCCCCACCGAGCCCACAGATGTCGAACAGGCTGGGCAGCCCCTCCTGGATGGAGCTCCATCCTCAGCCTCCCTGGAAACACTGATCCAGCATCTGGTGCCCACAGCCGACTACTACCCCGAGGTGGGTGACCCACCCAGCGGGCAGGAGAGTGGGTTCTCCTCCACCAGGCATGGGAGGCAACAGAGCTGGGAGTGGCCTTGGGCCAGGGTGTAGGGCCGGCTGGGAGGCATGCCCCTCCCAGTCCCCTCCTGAGCCTATGCCCTCTTGTTTGTGCCCCAGAAAGCCTACATCTTCACCTTCCTGCTAAGTTCTCGTCTCTTCATCGAGCCCCGGGAGCTCCTGGCCCGAGTCTGCCACCTGTGCATCGAACAGCAGCAGCTGGACAAGCCGGTGCTGGACAAGGTGAGGTGCAGGGCAGGCCAGGGAGCCTCAGAGTGTACCAGCACTCCCCTCCCATGCCCTCAAGTCATCAGCCTCTAGGGGAGGTAATGATTGTCCCTGTTTTCCTGACAAGGTGGCTACAGAGTATTTCCACCTTGTCTGAGGCCCAGAGCCAGAAGGAGCAGAACAGGACCTTTCACCTTCATGCAGTTTTTCCAGTGCCCTACAGGGGCCCTTGAGCTTACATTAGGCCCAGACTTGAGTATCCAGAGCCCGGTCAGTAGGACCCCTGCCATCAGTGGCCGGAAAGGACCTGCTGCCTCTGCTGGGTTTCCTTCCTCCAGCACATCCGCTCCATCTTCCCAGTCCTGGCCAGATCCTTAGGGTTGCATCTATTTCACACACATCGGTCGGGCTCTAGAGCTAGCAAGAGAAACCCAACTTCAACCTGCCAAAACCAAAGGGACTTAGCTGGCTTGTATACCTGCCCGATCTCAGGGACTGCTGGCTCGGGCCGTAAACCACAGCATTGCACCGTGCCCACCCTCTGCTGCCATTTTCCCGGGCTGGTGCCCCTCGGGCTGGCTGGTGTGGTGCCCTGCCGCCTCCACTACAGCACGCTCACATACAACCCTTTCCACCCTTTCCAGTCACGCAGAAGCCTCAATCCCGTTTCTGTACAGATCCAGTGAGTCTCGCCATTGGTGTAGCCTCGGTCACGTGCCCATCTGTGGGCCAATCACTGTGCACGATGGAGTAAGCTGTGCTCTGATTGGTCAGCACAGACCTGGACCCACCCCTGGAGCAGGGGCCACTGCTCCTGAGGCCCCCGGTGCCCGAGAGAGTCCCCAGGGAGGGTGGAGACATCACCGCAGAAGGGCAGCAGCAAGAGATAGCCCCGCCCAAAAATGTGTCCATCCTCTCTCCATTCCCCGTAGGCGCAGGGCAGTATTGCACCACCCCCGCCCCCATCCCTGGCACAGAGAGGGCACAAGGTTCTGCCTGCCCAGGCAGTCAGACCAGCAAGGACACGAGGTGAGGCCCACATGCCCGCCCAACACCCCCGACGAGCGTGGCGCCTCTCGCTTGCTTGCAGGCCCGGGTCCGGAAGTTCGGCCCCAAACTTCTGCAGCTGTTGGCAGAGTGGACTGAGACCTTCCCAAGGGATTTCCAGGAGGAATCGACCATCGGGCACCTGAAGGACGTGGTGGGCCGCATCGCCCCCTGTGACGAGGTGGGCAGCCAGGCAGGGGTCTTGTCACCCTTTGGGCCCCTCCTGTCCCAGGCCTGTGCCTGTTCCTGTCCCCTACCCCAGGGCTCTCATCTCCCCACCCTACACATCACGGCCCCTCTAAATCCAGCCCCTCTCTGACCCATCAAGGAATCAGGCACTGATGAACTGGGAGGGAATGCGGAGTCTCATGACCCCTCCCTGCCTGCTCTCACTGATGGCATCAGATGCTGGATGAAGAAAGACCCATTCACGGGTTATTGGGGCCAGGAGGCCAGGCTATTGGCCTCTGACCTACTAGATGGGACTGGCAGAGCGCTGTCCTGGGCCTTGGCCATACCCACTTTGCTCTCCCAGCTGTATTACTCTGTGGAGAGCACTGAAGGGTCTCCAAGCCTCACTTCCCTTATGGGCGAAGGAAGCAAAAAAATCTTTATCTCCCAGGATTATGGAGATAGATGTCTCCTGGTGTGTTTAGAAGGGGCAAGTTTATCAGCATCCTGGAATGCCACTGTGGGCAGCACTGGTGTAGCATTACCTGGAAGGGGGAAACATGGGCAGGGGTGCATGTTGGTCACCCTGGAAGGAAACTGAACCAGCTGGTAGCTGGTGACATGCCACAGAATGGGTCTGGATATGGCAGAAGAGCTATGTGTGAGACAAGGGAAAACTGCCAAGACAGGCTGGGCAACAGGAACCCAAACACCCACGGCCACATAGACATAACTCAGGCTCTGTGGAAAGCACTGATCAGGGCCACTTCACACACCAGGCAAGTGACTCAGAACTGAGCAGGCAAGTTCTGAGGCTCAGTGAGATGAGAGTGTTTCCACTTCCTCCTCCTCACACTTCTCCCCTCCTCCATTCTCCTCCTCATCCCCTCCTCTTCCTCCTCTGAATCCCCTGATCCATCTTGAGATTGTGACACTTGGCTAAGGATGCAGCACAAAGCAGGGCCAGGGAACAGTTGACAATTGGATGAGTGGGGGATGGAGAGAGTGGAAGTAGGGGATAGGGTGCTGGATGATTGGCTGGGAAGACATTTGGCTACTCTTATAGATGAATGTGGGAGAGAACAGGTGATTTTGTTATTGGATAGGCAGGTGGATGGATGCATGGGGTGAGTGGAAAGATTAATAGAAAGAAGAGAGAAATGTAGGAAGTGTGGACAGGTGGGTGGGCAGATGGTTGAATAGATGGAGGGGAAGGTGGATGGGTGGGTGGATGGGTGGATGGTTGAATAGATGGAGGGGAAGGTGGATGGGTGGGTGGGTGGTTGAATAGATGGAGGGGAAGGTGGGTGAGTGGGTGGGCACATGTTTGAATGGATGAAGGGGAAGGTGGGTAGGTGGGTGGGTGGATCAATAGATGGAGAGGAAGGTGTGTGAGTGGGTTGGCAGATGGTTGAATAGATGGAGGGGAAGGTGGATGAGTGGGTGGGTAGGTGTTTGAATAGGTGGAGGGGAAGGTGGGTGGGTAGGTGGGTGAATGAATAGATGGAGGGGAAGGTGGATGAGTGGGTTGGCAGATGGTTGAGTAGATGGAGGGGAAGGTGGATGGCTAGGTGGGTGGATGGATGGTTTAACAGACGGAGGGGAAGGTGGGTGAGTGGGTGGGTGGATGTTTGAATAGATGGAGGGGAAGGTGGGTGAGTGGGTTGGCAGATGGTTGAATAGATGGAGGGGAAGGTAGATGAGTGGGTGGATGGTTGAATAGATGGAGGGGAAGGTGGATTAGTGGATAGGTGGGTGGTTGAATAGATGGAGGGGAAGGTGGATGGGATGGTGGGTGGTTGAATAGATGGAGGGGAAGGTGGATGGGATGGTGGGTGGTTGAATAGATGGAGGGGAAAGTGGGTGAGTGGGTGGGAAGATGTTTGAATAGATGGAGAGGAGGGTGGGTGGGTGGGAAGGTGGATGTGTAAGGGAGTGAGTGTTAGGAAGGACGTAGCAAGGGTAGATGAGTGAACTGATGGTTCTGATGGGGGCTTCAGGGGTCACTGTATAAGAGGTAGGTGATAGCAGTTAGGTGAAGAGTTGGGGACAGGTGGATGGGAATGGATGAGCGAAAGTGAATGGTGGCTGGATGGGTTAGTGAATGGATGTGTGAGTGGGCACATGTTAGAAGGAAGGAAGGGTAGAGGAGTGAATTGATGGATCTGGGGTGGGTCACTGTATAAAGGGGGAGGTGGGTGGTAGAACGTGGCTGGAGAAGAGGTGAGTGTGAGGATGGTGGGTGATGGGTGGATGATATGCAAGGGGGTGAGACCCCAGTCTCCTGATTTGTTCCCTTTGATCTCCAAGGGTCAGCTGTGAGGTTTTTCATATGACCAGGCAGGATGTGACCTGCCTGATGTTGGACCCATGCCTTGGTGGTGGGGCTGGAGGTAAGCCCTGGCCTGGTTCCTCTTGGGAAACCAGTTGCTCCTGTCCACCTGGAGAACCCACAGGTCTGTCACCAGACTGTGTAGCCTGGACTGGATGGGAATTCGTCAGTCCCAACCCAGGCCCTGGCCAGGGGTGCTCCTCCATGTCTCTGGTGTCCTCAAGTTGCCCTTCCACAAAAAAGCATGCACTCCGAAGATGCCTTTCTCTGGGCACTGCTTCTCCTCACTGGGTGCTGCTGTGGACTGTGGGGTGTTCCCCCTCCCAGCACAGAATGGTTTGGCATGGAAGAGCCCTGGACCCCGCCTGAGCCCACCCAGATCCAGACTCAGAAACCACAGCTGTGTGACCTCAGACAAGGTGTTTTGCCCTGCTGAGCCAGCTTCCTTATTGGTAAAACAGGATAACTGTCCCCACCGCAGCTTTGCAGCGAGGAGTCCCTGAGGTCAGGTGCACTCTTGCTTCAGCACGCAATAGATATGGGCTATAAGGAGAAGAGATGGTTCCCCAAATCAGGTGTAGGAGCATTAATTAAGTTTTACAGAACTTTGTTATGAAACATCTCAAAGACGCAAAAGTGAAGAATGGTAACCATGCACTCCTCTGTCCTCATCACCCAACTTCAACAATGATATTTTGCTGAACTAGTTTGTCCTGTCCCCTCAAACATTTTGCTTTGCCGCAAGTTAGCTGTAAGCAAAACATAGACATAGGCTCTGCTTCCAAAATATTTCAGTATTATCCTTTTAAAAGATTTCTCACACAAAGGTGGAATAAAATGATAGATAGTGTGTGCACAAGTATTTTCAGAGCTGTGTGTCTTTGGGCAAATAATGTAATCTCTCTGTGCCCTAAATGTCTTTCTGTAAAAGGGAAGGTGATCACTCCTCCCTCACAGGGCTGTGAGAGAACAACGGAGCTGTATTAAAAATACAAAATTAGCCGGGCGTGGTGGCACGCACCTATAATCCCAGCTGCACAGGAAACGGCCCAGGGCCAGGGCCTAGTGGGCTCCCTCTGGAATCATCTGCCAGGGCTTCCCCCATCAGAGTGACAGTGAAAGATGTCAACTTCCTTTTTCCGCTGCCCACTGTGGTGTTGTCACTGTGCTCCGCACTGGCTCTCAGCAGCTGAAGCAGCCCTGGAGAGCGACTGAGGAGGCTGTTCTCCATGACTGTGGTTCTGAGGACTCCCAGGAAGCCTTCCCAGCATCAAGCCACCCTGTGCTGGGCAGGGGACCCAAGGGAGTGTCATGGCCAGCCCAGCCCTTGCAGGGTTCCTGGTAGACTGGATGCAGGAGTTAAAGCTCATGGAGGCCAGTGCCAAGGCTGAAGGAGGCTGGGGGAGCCAAGGAGGACCCAGAGGGTCACAGCCCCAAGTAGGGGAGAAAGGACAGGAGGACCCCAGTACTCTGGCCATACCCACAGGGCCAGCCACAGAGGAGGCTGACTCAACAGGTAGCCTCTCTGAGGACTGGTCTTGCTTTTTTTTTTGAGACGGAGTCTCGCTCTGTCACCCAGGCTGGAGTGCAGTGGCGTGATTTCGGCTCACTGCAACCTCCATCTCCCAGTTCAAGCCATTCTCCTGCCTCATCCTCCTGAGTAGCTGGGATTACAGGCGTGCACCACCATGTCTGGCTAATTTTTGTATTTTTAGTGGCGATGGTGTTTCGCTGTGTTGGTCAGGCTGGTCTCGAACTCCTGACATCATGATCCCCCCGCCTCGGCCTCCCAAAGTGCTGGGATTACAGGCATGAGCCACGGCACCCAGCCTGGTCTTGCTTGCTCATACGGACTGTCTGCTGAATTGACCACCACCTTCGGAGACTCCCTCCCATGGCAGAAGTGGCAGAAAGCTGACACAGAGGACAAACCAATGGAGACAGCAGAGCCCCAGGATCCTTATGAGCTCCTGCGTCAGCTTTCTGCCATTTCTGCCTGTCATGTAGTAGGCAGGAGGACATCTGCCCTAGGCTGGCTCAGGAGAGAGTCTCCAAGAACATCAGAGAACAGGGGCCAGTGCTCATCTGGTCCGGGACGGGGGCTTCAGCTGTGAAATGCCCAGTCCAAGAAAACTTGGAGGCACCTGGAGAGCCGTGGTCACCACCCAGGCCACCCTTGGATGACTCTGCAATCACACCTGGCTCTATGCATGCAGGAGATTGCTTGATGGAAATACATGGAAACGGAAGCTCCAGACCTCCCAGCCTCCTGGACATCCTCCCAACTATGATCAGTGTGGAGAGAGGGCTTCAGCCCAAGGCTGGAGGGGAAAAGTGCTGTGCCGCCCCAGCATGCCCTGGTGCTTCATAAATGTGGGCCTGCTATGGTGATAAGGGAACGCCTTGACATTCTCAGTGATTTAGGTCTCTGGCCCTGCCCATATCTACCAGGAAGATCTCCGAGCCCCATCTACAAGTGTGTAGAAACCAGTGAGAAAATGAGAGGAGGCCAAGAGTAGGGCAGATAGCATCCCCACATTCAGAGGGAGCATGGGAGAGTCAGAGAACAAACGTAAGCTGGAACTTAACATCACTGGAAAAATCTAAACAAACTAGTAAGCAGGAAGGGATAATTATTTGGAATGAATATTGGTTCATTCAACAGCAATAAATCGTCCTAAAGTATCTGCATTTTAAAAAAATAAGGCAATCTCATGGCCCTATCAAGGGGTAGGCACAGACACCCTGAAGCCTTGATTTTGGCATGGGCCTGCAGTCCGCCCTGACACCCTGCTGGAGAGAACCTCTGACTATCAGCTGGTGAAGGCCATGTTTATCCATGCATTCAGCAGATGCTTGTGGACACCTCCTGTGAGCCAGGTACTGCCCTTCATGAACGAAGGGCAGCCTGAGGTTGGCCACGTGAAGCTTGTAATCCAGGGAGAGGAGATGCACGTGAACAGAATCATTTCCCAGTCAGCTCTAAAACTGACTTGGCCCAGCACTATGGGAGGCTGAGACGGGTAGATCACGGGGTCAGGAGTTCGAGACCAGACTGACCAACAGGGTGAAACTCCGTCTCTGTTAAAAAAAAATTATAGTAAAACAATTGATAATCCTTTGGATATGTACCCAGTAATGGGATTGCTGGGTCAAATGGAATTTCTATTTCTAGGTCCTTGAGGAATCATCACACTGTCTTCCACAATGGTTGAACTAATATACACTCCCACCAACAGTATAAAAGTGTTCCTATTTCTCCACATCCTCTCTAGCATCTGCTGTCTCCAGATTTTTTTAATGATCGCCATTCTAACTGGTGTGAGATGGTATCTCAATGCAGTTTTGAATTGCATTTCTCTAATGACCAGTGATGATGAGCATTTTTTCATATGTTTGTTGGCCTCATGTATGTCTTCTTTTGTAAAGTGTCTGTTCATATCCTTTTTAATATGGCCTTGCTTTTTTCTTGTAAATACGTTTTAGTTCTTTGTAGATTCTGGATATCAGCCCTTTGTCAGATGGGTAGATTGCAAAAATTTTTTCCCATTCTGTTGGTTGCTGATTCACTCTAATGACTGTTTCTTTTGCTGTGCCGAAGCTGTGGAATTTGATTAGGTCCCATTTGTCTATTTTGGCTTTTGTTGCCAATGCTTTTGGTGTTTCAGTCATGAAGTCCTTGCCTGTGCCTATGTCCTGAATTAGTTGGGCATGGTGGTATGCACCTGTAATCCCAGCTATTCAGGAGGCTAAGGCAGGAGAATCACCTGAACCCAGGAGGCAGAGGCTGCAGTGAGCCAAGATTGTGCCACTGCACTCCAGCCTGGGCGACAGAGCTAGACCCCTCTCAAAAAAAAAAAAAAAAATGATTTGGGCAAGTGGTGGGGCAGAAGGACTCACAGCGCTGAGCACCAATGGCCTGCCTGGGGAAGCGGCACTTGAGCTTCAGTCCAGTGGATGAGAACATGCCAGAGGGAGAAAGTTGTCCAGCTCCTGCTGGGAAAACAGGGAGGGCAGGAAGGAGTCAAAGGGGCAGAGGAGTGATCTGTGTCCAGAGCACAGAGAGGGAGCAAAGGTACATAGAGGCCACTGAGCCTGAGCAGAGCTGACCTCAGGGCCCCAGCGTCACACCAGGTCTCTTGTCTTTGCGCAAGCCGTGGAGGCATTTTCAGGAAGAGGGAAGCAGCAATCAGATTTGCATTTTGAACAGAACACACTCTGGCTGCAGAGTGGAGAGAAACTGGCGTGGATGCAGTGGGGGCATTAAGGAGCCAGAGAGATGACAGTGGCATGGCCTACAGAGACAGGGGTGGAGATTCGCAGAAATAGAAGAAAATGAAGTAGAGAAGGGTGATGATGGCCTAGAGGGGTGTGAGGGAGAGGGCGAGATCAAGGTTAGCACAAAGCCTGTGTGCCTGGTGGCTGGTGTGCCGTCCACCAACACTGAAAATACCAGCTTCGGACAAGGAGAGCAAACCTCTATTTGCTGTGCTGGGCAAACAGAAGACCATGGGCCATATGACGGACCATCACCCATATGACTGGAGGTCAGAAGGAGGCTGCACATGTAAATGCGGAAGACTGCCAATGTGAACCGGAATACCCAGGAACTAAGGAACAGTGAGAAGAGAGGTCTAGCGCGCAGGAAGAACCCCAGCATCTCACAATGGTGAAGACAGGAAAGCCTGCCGACAGCCCAAGTCAGGAGCAAGCAGGAGGCTGAGGCAGAGGTGGCCAAGGAAGACGCAGCCTGAGAAACAGCCACTGGAGGAGGCTATTAATAGCCACTGGAGCCTGGAAATAGCCACTGACAGGAGGGCCCAATGACATGGGAGTGGCAGTCAGGTGAAGTGATCCAGGAGTGAGCGGGAGGTGAGGAGACAAAACAGCAGGTGTGGCCACTCGTGGGACCCTGGCTGTGTCTGGGAGAGAGACAGGAGGTCAGTGGAAGGGCCAGGGCCCACAGGGGACTGACCATGCCCCCAGGGCTGGCAGTGGCTGCGCCCCACTCCCCATCTTCTCAGCGCTCAGATGAAACCCTGGGAGGCAGTGTTGGACACTGCCTCACCACAGTTTTGGACACAGCCTTACTGAGAGCGGTTGTTCCTTCCATGGGCAGCAGATAGAAGAGTCAGACCTCAGCTTCCTTACTCACTGCTTCAGCTAACCAGTGGGCGCCTTCTGCACATGGGAGTTAGGCTTAGGGGTAAGCCATCTCCTGTCCCATTCCTTCCATCTGATGCTCTGCCATAGCTGACTGTGGCCACCCCACAGAGAAGCACCACCATAGGGGCCAGACGACTACCACCTCCATCACCAGAGCACAGGGCTCCAGCAGTCCTCAAACAACAGCATCACCCCAGGGCCCAGTCTGAGGCTCCCAAGAGCAGTCAGAGCCCCCAGATCCTCATAGCCAGCATGCATATGCCACACTGCACACTCACCGCAGGCTCTGTGTGTCCCAAAATCACGTGAAGAAAAATTCCCTGTGATCTCTCAAACGACCTGACAATACTGACTGCCCACCCCTCGTTATTTCCCGAGGCCTCTAGGAGCCTCTACATGGCTTGTGTAGTCAATGCTCGCATTGCTAAGGACCAGGATCTGGCCCTCACCACTGCCTCTGCCAATGCCCAGGCCAGCTCCTGGCATGTAGGGGGTTGCATCTCACTCTGGGTTAGACCAAAACCTTCGAGGACATGACGACGTTTCCCTTAACAAACCCAGCCAGTCTGATGGCACTTCCTTGGAAATAGGGGTTTCCAAGGGGGAAAATAATTAGGTTTTCCTTGAGGGTAAGAGAGGAGGTGTCCCTTGAGGGGTGGCCGTGGCCATTCTTCCCTGTACCCAGCCCATGGCATGGCCCAAAGCAAGGGCCTGTGCGTCTGAGCTGGCTGGTGGGGAGTGAGCACTTACTGCACACCCTCTGCGTGCCCAGAGCAGAGCTGGGCCCTCATAGCACAGAGAGGGCAACACAGAACTTGCACCCCTGTGGAGCTGTCATTCTAGTGTGTGAGGAAATAAACCCAATTGTCTCAACCTTGGTCTTATAAAAGAAATTGCATAGGGTGACCTGGATGGGTACTGCTGGGGGCAGAGACCAGAACAGCACAGCTGGTTGGGGAAGGCTGAACTGGGCCTGGGAGATAACAGGGGGTCCCCATTAAAGTCAAGCAAAATGCCAGTCGTCCATCCAGGGCAGGCCTATGCCATGTCTCCCTCCCCTCTCCCTTTCTCTGGCTTTCTGGCAGTGCCCACCCCACTGCCCCGACAGCTGCACCAGACCTGGCTCCCGTCACCCTCCCTAACCTGTGCTCCTTGCAGCTCCCAACCGCAGCCCTGCAGCCTTCACACCACCTGCCTTGCCTGGTGGCCCCAACCTATCTGGGAGTGGGCCCTGTCTCGGGGTAGGGGCAGGTCCTGGCCCCTCTGCTGGTACCTGGTCTTTTCTGCAGAGACCCTAAGGAAAAGCCCCTCCCTTCAGAGCCCAGGAGGCTGCCTGCCTCCAGTGTGAGTGACACAGAGATAGGCGTTCAGGCCTGAATGCCCCTCTTTCCACCCACCAGGCATACCGGAAGAGCATGCATCAGCTCCTACAGGCTCTGCACCAGAAGCTGGCGGCTCTACACCAGGGGCCAGAAGGTCTGGTGGGTGCCGACAAGCCCATTTCCTACAGGACCAAACCGCCAGCGTCCATCCACAGGGAGCTCCTTGGTGTCTGCAGTGACCCCTACACACTGGCCCAGCAGCTGACCCATGTGGAACTGGTGAGCGGGCCCAAGCCACCCTCCTCACCCGGGATTCAGCTTCCCGGGGCAGGACCCGCAGATGCACTGTGCCCTCCCTGGCTTCCCCAAGCAGCCCCACAAACTTGTGAAGGCGGTGCCCTGGCCTAGCCTCAGCACACACCGGGCTGCTTGTGGATGAAGAGGCCAAGGGCCCACCCCAGAGGGAGGGAGGCTGAGGTAGGTCTCTTCCCTTTGAGACTACCGGTTGATGGCACCCTCCCTGCTCTCCAGGCACTCTTCCAGAGCACTCCCATGCACTAGCTCATGTCTCCATCACCCGGCCAGACCTTAGGAAACTAAGGCCCAGAAAGGTGAAGTGATTTGCCCACGTCACACAGCAGAAGGGACAGAGCCAGGGTTTGATTCTGACCCAGATGCTATGCTCCTGGCCACCAGGCCCCCCGCAAAGGCAGCAGGCCACTTCAGTGACCCAGTGTGGAGCCTGGTGTCCCTGGGTGTCACGCTGCATAGCATTGCTCCATGCCCCCATGAACTAGGAAAGGAGGGGCTGCCTCCTCCAGGGAAGGCCCTGTGTTCTGTGACAACCTAAACCAGGGTCTCCAAGCCCCAGTGAGGACGGCAGTTGCAGAGTGACCCTTGTGAGGAGGACTAGGGGCAGGGGCACCACGGCAGGCCCCACAGTAGACACCTCCTCCCCATACCTCCCCTCTTTTACCCCTCTTCCCCTTCCACTGCAGGAGAGGCTGCGGCACATCGGGCCTGAGGAGTTTGTCCAGGCCTTTGTGAACAAGGACCCTCTGGCCAGCACAAAGGTAGGAGGCTTTTACGGGCTATCCCAAAAGTGACCCTCACCCAGTGACTGGCCACTCTCAGGGGAGCCCAAGAGTATCCTCTGGGCGAACGCTGGAGCGGCCCGAGTGGGACAGGTGGGCACGGAAGGGCCCTACCCACTCCGCCACGCCCCTCCAGCGGGGGTTGGGGTTGGGGACGGACCGCGACAGCCGAGTCCAGGGAAAGCCTGGGGGTCTGGACGTGCGGGACGGGGGTCATCCACCCAGTGAGGGCGGAGGGGTGGACGGGGAACCAGGCCGTGGGCCGCGCTGCTCGGGTGGGCCGGGACCAGGGGCAGGGAGGAAGGTGGAGGCCCCCCGCCGCGGCGCGGAGCGCCTTCCCGGTGAGTTTCAGTGGGCGCCGGTGCCCTCCAGCGGCCACGCGGGGAAGCGCGAGTTGCTGCGCGCTGCCGGGACCAGGTAAGGCAACTCCTGGGGCCCGGGGCTCAGGACATGGCCCACACACCCGGATTTTGATCCAGCCCTTCTAGGAGCCCAAAGCAACGTGCCGGTGCCTCCAACGCGCTAAATCCAAGCGAGAATTGCAAACATTTTGGCTTCTGCCCTCACACCTAATAAAACTACAAACTACATATGAGATTGCATTTTCACTTCTCAGATAAGCAAAGATCACCTTGTAGGTCAGGCACATTGTGGTAGGCGCCCTCCACATGGCTGCTGGGGTGAAGGTGGCACAGCCACTTTGGTAGGGAGATTGACACTAGCATCAACGCTTTAAATGGATTTTCTTGACTCCAACTTTCTATGTCTACATGTACGCGAACATGCGCGGACGAAGGTATTTGGGATAGACAATGTTAATTATAGGCAAACACTGGGAGCAGATTGCCTTATCACCCATGGGCACTGGATTAAAAACTGTGAAACATCTATGACTAGAATGCTGTGCAGCTATGGAAGGGAAACAATCTCCAAGGCCTACCTGTCCGGACACTAAGAGAAAAGGGTAGAGGGAAGAACAGGGACAAGAGTATGTGACCATTTGCATAACAAAAAATAGGGTAACCAAAAAAATGTATGTTTTGCATGTCTGGAAGCACTCTCTAGGAATTCTGACTGCTCTGGGAATTCTGAACAGATGTGCTGGGAGGGAGGAACCAGAGGGAATGGGAGGGAGATTCTTACAAGATTGTTGGGTTTGGGGCCATCTCCAAATATTACTTTTTTGTGTAAAATACATCAAGATGACACATCACATTGGTTTATCCCCCCTACTATAGATGAAGATTTGTGTTTCCAGCTTTTTGCTGTTATGAATATTCCCACTGTAGACATTCTTACGCCTGTGTCTGGGTATACACACAAGTGCGCATTTTCTCTAGGGTGTCAATTCTCAAAAGCTCGGGATCCCTTTATGCTCTTAACAATTATTAAGAATTCCAAGTAACTTTTGGTTATATAGATTATATTTATCCTATTAGCAATTAAGATTGTTTGTTTGTTTGTTTGTTTGTTGAGATCGGGACTCACTCACTCTTGTCCTCCAGGCTGGAGTGCAGTGGCAATATCTCGGCTCACTGCAACCTCCACCTCCCGGGTTCAAGCGATTCCCCTGCCTCAGCATCCCGAGTAGCTGGGACTACAGGTGTGTGCCACCACACACAGCTAATTTTTTTATTTTTATTAGAGGCGGGGTTTCGCCATGTTGACCAAGCTGGTTTGAAATTCCCGACCTCAAGTGATCCACCCACCTCAGCCTCACAAAGTTCTGGGATTACAGGCATGAGCCACCATGCCCTGCCCTAAGATTAACTTTTTAAAATATTTATTCAAAAATAACAATAATAGCCAAGCAGTGGCCCATGCCTGTAGTCCCAGCTAGGAGGCCCAGATAGGAGCATTGCTTGAACCCAAGAGTTCAAGTCCAGCCTGGGCAACATAGATAGTGGGAACCCATCTCTCTAAAAACAAAACAATAAAAACCCATAACATGGTAACATAAATAACATATTTTATAAAAAATAATTCTTTTTTCACAATAGGAAATTACTGAGAAGAGTGGCATTGTTGTTATAGTATTTTTTACAAATCTCTTTACTATTTGAATTAATAGAAGACAGCTGGATTCTTTTCTGTGCTTCTGCATTCTGTCTCTCAACATCGTTTTTTGGTTGAAGAAAATCCAATCTCACACTGACAGGTAGCTAGGAAAGGAAGGAGTATTTTACCACCTTTTCAGATAATTGTGAATATGCTTCTTTGATATCATACTAAAACTCAGCAAGTTATAGTTCTTAAGAATTAACACAATGTGAAATCTGAAGAGTTATCAGTGAACTTTCTGTACTCTGACACTGAAACCTATTGGTCCGTCTTGCATCTTGATGCATGATTTTGTGACATCATACGTTGGTCATGTGGGAAAATATATGTTTGCTGTGTTAGGCATATCTTCCAAATGTTGGCACATTTCATTGTACAACATTTTAGAAATCACATTATTATCACTCTTACTCACATTGTTTAAGTCTGTGGAAGCTGTCAATCTCAGAGGCAGATACATGTCTTACAAGTTCCCAGTTTTCTCTTGAAAGCCTTAATTTTATCATTGGCAACAAATATTGTCAATCATTCTCCTTTATTTTTTATAACTAAGCCAAGAACTTCCAGTTTTAATTTTTTAAACAGCATTTAGCAAGAAAAACATTCAACTAAATTAAAAAGAATTAGGCTGGATTAATTTGCAATAAAATAATCGACTTAAAATATCAGCCCTTCCATTTAGGGCCAAAAGGCCAATAGTTCCTGTTTAAACAGCAGAATTACACAATTATTTTTACCTATATTTGATGGCACAAAAAAGTAAAAGTCTTACAACTTCCACTGCCACCATCCCCTCCCCGCTCCAGAGTAGAGTTCATACATATGCATCTTAGATCAGTACTCAGGCTTTTAAAAATTATCTTATATTTTGAAATATAATACAACTACTCTGGTAACAAGAATACTTTTAAAACAATTCTTAGAGAAAACAAATACCTTAGATAATTGTGTGAAACAATATCCTGCTCAAAGAAACAGCAAAGATGAAAAATAATGTACAAGAATTATAGTCCCTTGTTTATAGAAATCATCCAAATAAAATATTTTCCCTAATTCCAACTGTTCTCCTTTAAATGACAGGTTCATTTTCAAGAAAATGTAAGCCAAACACTGAAGTCTGAATTGCCATAGTATGTCTAGGGGTCCTTCTTTAGAGCAGAAATGGTACTCCAGGAAAACAGTGGCCAGTTCAGCTCACTAATGAATTAGCACTTTCCCTCAAAACAACCAGCACATTCTGTATGCAACAGATGGGCTTCGTATGCACAAACCGTTATGGCACATAAAAGATGGAAAATCTCAAAGATCTAGACTGAATAAAAAGTTAAAAGTTTTGCCTCATTCAGAACATTCTTAAGTCACACACCCCTTTTTCTTCTACTGGGCAATTTTACCCGCCATTGCTTTTGCACCATCAGTACAAATTTCAACACAGTGGAAAAGGCAACAGCATCGTATTATTATGAAAATAGCCTTGCCTGTGGACCTCCTGAAAGGGTGCCAAGGACCCCGCAGAATCCAGGGACAACATGTTAGGGACTGTTGCTCCTGGGAAGGGGAATTCCTGTGTCACAGGGTCAGAATGTGGACGGCCTTGCCAGGTAACGCCAGGTGAGGCCATGTGTCAACACTCCCAGCAGGAAGTTATCCCAGACCCTCATAAACACTTGAAATTGTCAGGCTTTAATTTTTGTCAAACTGTTAAATGGTGCATCTTTTCATGTATTTTGGGCATTTTTGTTTCCTTCTCTATAAAATGCCTCTCTCTGACTTTTGCCCAGTTTTCAATTGGTGGTTTGTCTTCTTAAGGATTTTTACAAATTTATCATTTTTGTTAATTTTAAATGTGTACTAGATAATGGTCCTAGGTCAGTTAAATGTGCTGCACATTTTCTTCTAGTTGGTTGCTTTGTTTTTCACCCTCATTATGATGTCTTTTGATGAACAGGTATTCTTAAGCTTAACCTAGGAAAATTTACTAAATTTTCCTTTTTTTTTTTTTTTTTTTTNTTTTTTTTTTTTTTTTTTTTTTTGGTGGGAGTAAGAGGTTAAGAAATCACACCCCACTCAGGTCATAAAGATAGTCTCCTATGTTTCCTATGGAAGTTTTAAAGTTTCGTCCTTCACATTTTTATCTGAAATTCATTTTGTGTATATGGCTTAAGGTGAGTTTCATTTTTGGTTTTTTCCAGACATATAACCAATTGTTTCTGCACCACCATTATATATTCCTTTACCCTCCAATGTGCCCTGACACATGTCACTTTCAGATGTCAGCTTTCCATATACGTGTAAGTCTGCTCCTGGATGTTCTGTTCTGCCCCATTTGTCTATTTCTCTATCTCTGTGTCAAGACACTTTGCTTTAATTACCACAGTTTCATGATAAGTCTTATGTCTGCTGAAGCAAATCCCCCAGGTTCTTCTTTAGGAGTGTGGCTTGGCTATTCTTGGCCCTTTGCTTTTCTATTTAAGTTTTAGAGTTATTTGTCAATTTCTATGAAAAGTGCTGTAGGGATTTTTTTAGAATGTATTAAATATGGATCCATTTGGGAAAAAATTGCATTTTCATGAAAGAATTTATATTTCATTACATTTGAGTCTGGCAATTCATAAAAATGGCATGTCCCTCCATTTACTTAGGCCTACTCTGTAGTATCTTTCTAATGGCTAGTAATTTTCTCCATACAAGCCTTGTAAAGATTTTGTTAGGTTTATTCCCCTAGATACCGTATGCATATTTTTACTATTATATATAAAACAATCTCTTTGCATAGATTATTTTAAAATGTGTTTTTAGATTTCTGAATGTTTGAAAAGAATGCATATTCTCAAGTAAATGAGCACAGGACTCCATATTTGTCCATTACCTCAAGTATGTATTTGTCGTATTTCCTGTCTGCTTGTTGCTGGTTTAATGAATGTAATTTACTGTGTATATCAAGTTTAAATTTGACAACATTGTAAATTCTTATTACTTCTAATAATTTGTATTCTTTAGAGTTTTTCATGTAGACAAGTAATCTGAGAATAATGACAGTTTTCTTTCCTCCTTTCCAATCCTTATTCATTTCTATAGTAGTCATAGAGTAGAACCCTCCACTAATAGGAAGTAGACAAGAGTGATAGGAACACCTTAATCTATCATTTTAAATCTCAGAAATGTTGAGATTGTTTGTTACTGCAGAGTAACACTGCCCGATCTGACTAACTTATGCTAACTTGTACATCTAGTACAATGTCAAATAGAAGTATTGAGAGCTGGCATCCTTATTTTGTCCTAATTTTCAAAGGAATACTTTTAACGTGTCCTAATAGAGCATGATGTTTGCTACAGGATTTCTTTAGATGTCTATTATCAGCTTAAGGAAGTAACCCGTTCCTTCCTAGTTTTCTGAGAATTCTCATCATGAACGGTTGTTAAATTTCATTTATTTTTCTGGATCTGTTACTCACATATTCTCTTCTCCTTTAAACTGTTAGCTGGTTATTTATATTAGTTTTTAAAATCAATGTTTCCTTTCTTTCTTTGGGGTTTTGTTGTTGTTTTTGAGACAGTCTTGCTCTTTTGCCCAGGCTGGAGTACAGTATTATGAACACAGCTCCCTGCAGACTCAGCCTCCTGGGCTCAAGTGACCCTCCCACCTCAGCCCCCTAAGTAGCTGGGACTACAAGTACACACCTCCACACCTGGCTAATTTTTGTATTTTTTGTGGAGATGGGGTTTCAATATGTTTGCCCAGGCTGGTCTAGAACTCCTGAGCTCAAGAAATTTGCTTGTACTGGCCTCCCAAAATGCTGGGATTACAGGTATGAGCCACCTCACCTAGCCTAGTTTTTTTTGTTGTTGTTGTTTGAGACGGAGTTTTGTTCTTATGGCCCAGGCTGGAGTGCAGTGGTGCAATCTCAGCTCACTACAACATTGTCTCCCGGATTCAAGCGATTGTCCTGCCTCAGCCTCCCAAGTAGCTAGGATTACAGGTACCCACCACCATGCTCAGCTAATTTTGTATTTTTAGTAGAGAGAGGGTTTCACCATGTTGGTTAGGCTGTTCTCGAACTCCTGACCTCAAGTGATCTACCCATTTTTGGCCTCCCAAAGTGCTGGGATTAAAGGCATGGGCCACTGGGCTATTTAATCAATGTTGAATCAACTTTGCATTTCTGAGACAAATGAAGCTGGGATAAGCAAAATCATTATCATTTTCATACCTCCCTGGATTTGTTTTGCTAATGTTTTGTTTAGGATTTCTGCAACTACAATCCTCAGTGAGATTGACCTGTTGTTTCCCTTTTTGGCACTGTTCTTGTGAAGTCTTTGTTTCTCTTCCCCTGTTCTCTATTCTTTTTGAACGACTGGAATTACTTGTTACTGAAACATATTGTAGAGATTAGCCAGTGAAACCATCTAGGCTGGGTATTTTCTTTGAGGAATGACTTTCATGTACTGATTCAAGGTTTTTCTTGTTTCTTTGTTTATGCTTAGTAATTTAATGGTTATAGAAATGTTTAGGTTTTCTGTTTCTACTTTTGTCTGTTTTGTAATTTATATTTTTCTAGGAATTTGGCCATTTCCCCTAAGTTTCCAAATTTATAGACATAAAGTTATTTATAATATTCTGTAGGTATCTTTTTAATTTCTTCACGTCCATATTGATTCATCTGTAGTATTTTGATTATTTACTTTTCTCTTTGTTGCTGTATCAATCTTACCAAAGTTTCATCAATTGTATTAATGTTTTCAAATAAAGATCTTTTGACTTTGTTGATTCTGTAGATTGTAGCTTTGTTTACTATTTCATTTCTTTCTTCTCTACTCTTTATTATTTCCTTCCATCAACTTTCTTTGGATTTATTCTGTTATTCTTTTTCCAGTTTCTTATGTTGGATGTTCAGCTTGTTTTTAATCCTTCTTTTCTAATAAAAGTATGAAAGATTATTTCTCTTTACATAAATTTTTATTTGCAGCCTCCAAGTTTTATTTTTCAATATTTTCATTATTATTCTAATTCCATTATGATTTCATCTTTGAACCATAGATTATTTTAAAATGTTTTTTAAGTTTCTGAACATTTGAAAAGAATGCATATTCTCAAGTAATTAAGTTCAAGTTTCCATATTTGTTTATTGCTTCAAATTGTGTTGTTCAGATTCATACTCATCCTGAATTTGGTTTTTTCTTTTTTCAATCTTCCTAACCTATTAATTACTGTCGTGTGTTAAAATCTTCCATGTGACTGTAGGACTTAACTTCTCATTATAAAGAACTTCACCTTTCTGATTATTTTTGCCTCCATATGTTGAACTTATGTTACTAGCTGCAATCAAATTTAGACTTGTGACATATTCCTCATGAGTTGAATCTTTTATCATTATGCAAGTACTCTCTAATTTCCCCTAAAGCTTTTTGCCTTAGGGTCTTTTTTGTTGCCTTAAAGTCTATTTTGTTCAGTATTAATATAGCTACATAATATTTATCACCTATGTTTTTCTATTTTTGTACTTACATCCTTGTGTTTGGTGTGTATCTCTTGGAAATGTCAAGGAGCTGGATTTTTAACCACAGATTTTTAACTAGCCCGTGAGAATCAGTCCTTGCTGTCTTTTGTTGTACTATGTAGTCGCCTTTCTTACCTTTCTATTTTTTCTCCTTTCCTTGCTTCTTTTGAATGAATAGGTCCTCCGTTCCATCTTCCCCTCTATTTATTGAAAATTACCCTGGCAGTTTTAACAAACACATTTATGTTAAGTTTCATCTTTTAAACGGTGATATGTTATATAGTGGGAAGTTCTGTATCAATTTCAAAATTTTGTTTCCAAAGGATATGTTATGACACAGGGAAAGGTTCATGTAGAAAAGTATGGGAATATATATGGTTATGACAGGTACATACATACACACAGCTGGTGCTCATTATTCCCAGCAGCCATATTCTATAAAGTCAGAAGCACTCAATGAGTGAGCACAGAACCATTGCTCCCAGGGGATGCAAGGTTAGGTTCCTGTGAGTCTCTCATCACAATGTTTTTGCCAACGGATCAATATATAACCTTGTTTGATGTGTCTTTATGTTTGAAGACATTATTTAATATAAATTGTTGATTACTATTGATCTCATGGCCAACAGTGCCATTACTCAGGACTGAACGCTGATGTTACACACGTTTTTTCTGTGGAGCACAGTGCAGCCTTTGCGTGTGTAGGAACACTAGACGGCACCTCAGCACCATGCTTGGGGCCTTTCTCAACAATGAAATTATCAGCAAAAAGCATGAAAATGCAAAAGACATGATACTCGGTAGGCCAAGTCTGAGAGTGTGATACAGGACAGAGCATTGCTTTGCCTCAGCTGGAGATGCTCACCAACACTGCATGACTTCAATTTTTTTGCCACCCCATGCATGTGTACAGATACCCACCAAAGTCACACAAGTTTTGGGGGTACAAATAAAGTTTAGAGTAGGCAAATTTGCAAATACAGAACCCAGGAATAATGAGGAGTGTGTGGTGTGTGTGTGCGTGTGTGTGTGTGTGTGTGTGTGTGTGTGAAATTACATTTTAAAATGTATTTTTAAAAGGACTAAAAGGGTACACACCAAATCTTTGGTATTTCTGGATGGTTTTGGGGTTTTGACATTTCCCAGATTGTAAGGATCGTACACTGACTTCATATCCTAAGAAATGATTGACAAAAAGACTCAGAACGTGGTTCTGTGTGTCTTTTCTAGCCCTGCTTCAGTGACAAGACCAGCAACCTAGAGGCTTACGTGAAATGGTTCAACAGACTGTGCTACTTGGTGGCAACTGAGATCTGCATGGTGAGTGGACAGCCAGGGTGGGCACGAGCTGGCATAGCCCAAAGTGGCTGCATTCAGGAGGAGCCCACCAGGGAGGGAACCGGAAGGACACCTTGAGTCCTGTTCATTTCCAAGTCCAGGGCCAGGCTGGGCATGCCTCCAGGACTCCAGGTAACACCAGCTTTCCTGCTGTGACATTTTCCTCCAAGGAGAACCCAGGACAGATCCACCAGCCAGACAGAGAGGGTGTCGGAGAGAGTTTGCTGAAGGAGTGAGGGGCAGTCACTCCCAGCCCCGGTGGCCCTGCTCCCTCTGTCTGTGCCTGCCTGCCTTGGGCAGCCTGGCCTGCAACTGGCCTTGTTTGGCTTGCTCAGGACCTAGAGGTGGATGTGATCCAACCTTTAAGCATTGGGAGACACACATAAAAGCCCATGGTTCTGCTGCTTCCGGAAAGCAACAAGACTCAGCAGTGTGGAGCCAGACGTGTTTGTCACTGAGTTGCAGTCCCACCTGGCCACACCCACCCATCCTCCTCCTTGCAGCAGAGGGGACCCTCCTCTGAACCCACTCTCTCACCTTAAGATGAAGCCCAGGGGGCCACTCGTCCCAGGGCCAGGCTGGAGGCAGCGCCGGGGCCTGCTAGGCTCTCTGCAGCAGGTGCTGAGACCCAGTGTGGGGCACATGTTCATGAGGGGTCCACCCTTGCAAAGAAAAGTAGGGGGAGGCAGCCCCACATGACGTGGTGACAGACACAGTGGTTGGCCTCTGTCCCTCCACCTGGCTCAACCCCCATCACAGGGCAGGCTGCCCTTCAAAGGACAGGTCCAGCCTTGGGTGAGCAGCCTTCTGTGGCCAAGGCAGCCCTGGAAAGGGGGGTTTGATGACACATCTCAGAGCACAACAGCCCACTTTTTGGTGGCAGTAAAGACTCCTGCTGCATGCTGGGTGGGCAAGCAATACCTACCAGTGTGGAAAGAATGCAATGCAGACCCTACTGGCCTAGCCCACTTCCCACCCTCACACCACTGGCTGCAGGCGAGAGGGCAAAGCCTGGGTGAAGCCTGGCCTGAGCCCGCCAGGGAGCCAGCTGTGGCCCAGGATGGCCGGGGAAGCACACGGTGTGGTTCTGCGCATTGGAGGGGTCTGAAGTCCCGAGCACCTGGCCACAAACCAGGCAGGGTTTACCAGTCACGCAGTTGTGAGATGGAGAGAGTGGAGGGGCTGCTGGAGGGACAGGCCTCAGGGCCAGCTTGTACCCCAGTGAGGGGACAAAGCCCAAGGATGGTGGCAGGGGGGCTCTAATTTGGGGAAGGAGTGGTATGGGAGCTGGGCCTAGAGGGACGAGGGTGCTGGAGAGGAGCCATGGAGCATCTCCTGAAGGTGCCTCTCAGCAGCCCCAGGGCAACAGCGGGTACCTGTGCCCCCACCGGGCCCACCTAGCCCTCTGTGGCATTGGATTCTGTTGGCTCAGCCCGTGAAGCTCTCTGAGACCCTGTTTACCCTGGGCCTCAAGTGCCTCAACTGTGCAGTGGGTTTAGAGAGAGCGAAGAGGGCTGGGTGAGGGAGCAGCCCTGGTCAGAGTCAGGGCAGGGTGGAGGCATGTCACCACTGAGGCTCTGCTGCCCTGTCCCCAGCCAGCCAAGAAGAAGCAGAGGGCACAGGTGATTGAGTTCTTCATCGACGTGGCCCGCGAGTGCTTCAATATCGGCAACTTCAACTCCCTCATGGCCATCATTTGTGAGTGGACCAGCCTGGGCCTGCAGCCCCCAGTGCAATCACCCCCAAGAGATCAGAGTGGGTGCAGTCAGGCAGGCAGAGTGCCAGCCAGGGCCCATCTCTGAGCAGCATGGTGCGGGGAGGTGGGGTGGGCTGGGCTGTCTGAAGGCCTGGGCAGCCCCATGTCCCCACCTCAGAGGTCCTGAGGAGCCGTTCCTTCTGAGGCAAGCCCAGCCCCCTCAGGATGTTTGATGAGGGCTTGGTGATATGTCCCCAGCCCCAGAGAGAACAAGGGCCCAGAGCAGGTGCGAGGCACAGGATGGGACCAGCATGGTGAGAGCAGCCCCATGTGATAGGCTGAGCCCTGCGGACCCCAGCCCTGGTCAGGGTGCAGTCCAAGGGGCTGCAGCTACATTGAGGCCTCCCTGTCTCAGGAGCAGCCCTCTCCAACCCTCCCTCCCTCTTCCAGCCGGCATGAACATGAGCCCTGTCTCCAGGCTGAAAAAGACCTGGGCGAAAGTGAAGACAGCCAAGTTTTTCATCCTCGAGGTAAATGAGGCTGCTGGGCCGCCAGGTGCCTCCGGCCATCCTCTGGACAGGACTGCCCAAATGCCTCCCTGTCTCCTTCCAGCACCAGATGGACCCAACAGGGAATTTCTGCAACTACAGGACAGCCCTGCGAGGGGCAGCCCACCGCTCCCTGACTGCCCACAGCAGCAGGGAGAAGGTAGGTTGGAGGCCACCTCAGCCCAGGTGGGCTGTAGCAGGGAGCCTGGGTGCTGGCTCGGAGTTCACCTGCTCCAGCTCCTGCCCCTCTGGAGCATCAGTAATAGACAGCCAGTTCTCCTTGCTTGCATGCCTCCAATGTCGGGAACCTACCACCTCCCAAAACCGGAGGGAAGCCAGCCTCAGACAGCTCTAACTGACAGGAAGTGCTTCTTGAGGGCCTGAAGCCAAGCTGCCTGGGGTCTTCCTTTCCTGGGGGACCACACAAGTGAGACCACTTCGTCTTCTGCTCACCAGTTCTTCAGAGCCCCCATCCCCGCTTCTCTCTTCTCCTCAGTCAACGGCCCCAGACCTGCCCTGCCGAACTACAGTTTCCAGGCTTCTCTCCACTTCTGGCCTTTTGGTCCTTAAACAGATCCATTTGTCGAAATTTCTTCTGTTTCAGATAAAATTGTGGTTCCAGGTACATAGGATCTTCCACCTCCCTGATTATACACACAATGCTTTTATTTGTGTGGCCTCAGATCACATTTACATTTTTGGCAATCACTAAACCAAGCTTTTCCTCACCCAAACTGCCTGTTCACAGCTCGTATTCTTTTTTTTTTTTTTTTTTTTTTTTTTTTTTTTTTTTTTTTTTTTGATATGGAGTCTGGTTCTGTCACCCAGGCTGGAGTGCAGTGGTACAATCTTGGCTCACTGCAACCTCCACCTCCCGGGTTCAAACGATTTTTCTGCCTCAGCCTCCCAAATAGCTGGGATTACAGGTGCGCCACCACACCTGGCTAAGTTTTATATTTTTAGTAAAGACAGGATTTCACCATGTTGGCCAGGCTGGTCTCGAGCTCCTGACCTCAGGTGATCCACCTGCCTCAGTCTCCCAAAGTGCTGGGATTACAGGCATGAGCCACTGCACCCAGCCACAGCCCGTATTCTTATACACCTGCATTTGTGGGGCCTTTGCTGACCTGATCAATTTTATTTCTCCTCCAAATTATACCCATGGCCTCTGGTACAGAGAATCATGTGTAGGTCCTCAGATTGCAATGATCCTCTGGCTTGAAATCTGTTACCGTCCTGATGATTAGAGTTGTTCATCTCTATAGAGAGGAAACTCCAAGACTTCTACCTTTTAAGGCCTGTTCCACGCAGGAACGTTAGTGGAATCAGGTCCCTGCTGTGGTTCGTGGATGTCTATCTCCAGCTTGAGGGATAATAGAACACATTGCTGCTCTTGAAATTAAGGTCCCCCTGGAATTGCATTGGATGGATGCCAGTGGGCAGGCTTGGGAAGCAAGCTGAGGTGTGCACGCTTATGCTGCCTGCCAGGCCTTCTTGGCCCTCTGCCCAAGGGGTAGATGCCAGCCACACAGATGGCTCTGTTCTGTCCAGCTGGCCTTTCCTGTTCAGGCTGTGCGCGTGTCAGTGATTCTGGGTCCCAGGCAGGGGTCTGCTGCAGACGAAAGCATCACCCAGGGATGCAAGACCTCAAATCCCAGGGCAGGTGGGTGGCCCACCAGAGGCCAGAAAGCCAGACAGCAGGGGCAGGAATCTCATGTCACTGAGCACCTGCCTTATTCCGGCCACTTGACCTCCATACCCCAGCTTAATTCTGACTCTATGGAGGCATCAGCATTGCCAATTCCCAGATCAGCAGACTGAGTCTCGGGCAGGAGACCTTACTAGTCCAGTCACACTGCAGGTAGGTGGCAGAGCCAGGGGTCAAACTCCAGCCTGCCTGGCTCTGAATCTCAGGGTCTGCCCACCACCAGGCTGACTTCTGTTCCCAGGCACAGGTGTATGTGGCACTGGCTACAGCCCTAGGTTGGATGCAGGGCCGGTCAGGTGTATAGGAGCGTGGTGCCAAGCTGGGCTGGGAGCCGTCAGCCATGGCATGGGCACTCTGCACTGTTTCCTTCATTCCTGCTGGGATGGACGCTGTGGGGCAAGTAGACAGACTGGGATTTGGATGCCTGTGCTCTGAGCCCCTTCCAGCTCTGGGTGCTGGAAGGCTGTGCATTGGGTCTGGTGCTGTAGGCAGGCGGCTTACATAGCTGTGTGTTTACTTTAACTACATTCTCCTCTAACTTCCAGAGAGAGATGTGTCATGGGCTAGGCCCATAAAAACTGCTTTATGGGTGGAGGTGGGTAGAGGGACAGAGGGAGGGAGGGAAGGAGGAACGAGGAAGGGATGCTCACAGTTTCCTGGCACCCCAGCTAAGTTGATGGGGCTGGAAGATCTTGGTTGTCATTGCACTTTATGCTTCCTTCCTGTCTGTGGGCAGCACCTGTCTGCCCCTCTCCCAGTCTGTGTCACGGAGCCCACTTACCTGGGTGACCTCCAAGCTGACCTAGGCTCTAATTAAACTTCTCATGTTAGAAGCAAGGGCAATGAATTTGCAGTTGCAAAGTAAGAGCTGTTTGGCTGCGGTGAGGGCAGGGAGACTAGGTCAGACATGGGGATGGCCAGTGGCACCTCCACGCTCAGCAGGGTGATGGTGCCTCCTCCTTTCTTTGTGGTCGTCATTGCTCTCCGTAGTGCATACGAATTCGCCTCATAACCCACAAAGCCCTGAGGCCCCAGCTAGCCCAGGAAGTCTCCCCTGCCCTCTGCACCCTGGGGTTGGGTCTGAGGTCCCTGGGGCAGTTATCTGCTGGCAAGTCTGCCCCCTTCCCTGGAGCCAGCTGTATAGAGCAGCTAGATGGGGCCAACCTGCACCCTCTTTCTTCCAGATTGTCATTCCCTTCTTCAGCCTGCTCATCAAAGACATCTACTTCCTGAATGAGGGCTGCGCCAACCGCCTTCCCAATGGACATGTCAACTTTGAGGTAGGACCTCCGTGAGGACTGCCACTGAGGTAGACTGGCCAGGAAGAGTTCCCAGGGCAGGACCACTGGCCCCTGCAGACCCAGCCTAATGGGGGACCCTGGGGCAGAGTGAGCAGTTCACAGCTGACCTCAGCAAGATTATCAGGGTCCCCCACACCGATATCTGCTGCAGTGGGGAGGCTGAGGCTCAGGTTCATGTTCATCCAGGCTGCACCAAACCCTTGAGGGGCACCGGGCTGGAGAGAAAAACAGCTCCGTGGGCCCACAGTGACAACTGTCAGGGCACTGTGACAGGGGCTGTGCCATGGGGGTCAGGGCCAGCCCCAAGGCAGGGCCCTGAGTAGCAGGAGGAAGCTGTCAGGCCGAGGCTAGAGTGAGCAGAAATAAAGAATTCTGTTCCTTCTACAGACACTCACCACTGTCAGCTCAAGTGTCTCCTCTTCAAGAAGCCCCCTTGGACCTCCCAGGCAGGGAAAGCCCACCTGTCAGGCCTCCCATAGCACAACAGGGTCAGTAACCCTCCATCCATCCTCAGTCACTGTACCCGAGTCCCTGAGCTCCTGAGAAGCAAGACCAGGCTGACCCGCTCCGTATCCTGACACCCAGCATACGTGTCTTGGAGTATCTGGTGAGCTAGGCAGGCGCTGAGTCAGATGGAGCATGCCATGCAGTAGTGGGACCTCCAGTCTGCAGGCAGGAGGGGGCTCTTCTCCCACTGGAGAGCCAGCCCCACCCTAGTGCTGGTCTGAGCAGTGGGTGACACAAGTGGGTGCGAGGCCCACCCAGCCTCCAACTTCAAGGGCCAGTCACCAGTCACTCTGTCTGAGCCTCAGTCTCTCCCTGTGTAAAATGGGGCTTCAACTGTAGCCCACAGAGGGTCTAGGAGTGGAGGTGCAGCATGGCCCTCCAGGGGCTGTGAGAGTCCCCTGCAGGTGGGACCCACAGCACATGCCCAGACCGTTGGGCCTGGAGCTGCCCTCCTCACAGACACACCAGGAGACCATCACAGGCCTGGTTAGGAGTCCCAGACCGCCTCACCCCTTAGGTCAGCCCAGGCTGGAGATGATGTAGACAAGATTGGGCTTAGGCAAGACACTGCAGAGACCCAGGAGCCTGGTATCTTCCTCAACAGGTGACACTGGCCCAGAGCAGGCATGGGAACCCCTGCCTTTGCCCTTCCTGAATTGATCCTCAGATCTGGGGCCAGGGTCAGGCAAGACTGCAAGGTGCTACGTGGTCCCAGCTTTGGGGAACAAGCAGGAGGGAGTGGACCTGGCTGCCAGGGTAGATCAGGGAGTGTCGTGGAGCGGGGCTCCCCACCTTTCACAACTGTGTGCTGCTGTTTATTTAAAGTCCTTCTTAAAGTTGGCACCATTTTTTAAAATTAAGTACATGTGTTTATATTGTACTTAAATGAAATCATACTTCGATGAATTACTTGTCTTACTTAAAAATACTTATTTAAATATATTTGCATAATTCTGTAAATCAACAAACATGTATCACTTGCCGTACATTGAGAATAACAACAAAAATACAGTGACATAAAACCATGTCCACTCTTGCTCCACGCTGGAGGCCAGGACTGCTCTCGCCCTCATTTGTTGCCCCCTGCTCCTCCTCAGACCCTTAAAGTCACGGGGGGTGGAGAGAGGCTCTGCCAGGACCAGCCCGTCCCCACCATGGGGACCTCCAGGCACTGGAGTGCCTCCATTCTGTGTCTCTGTGACCCTGGCAGAAATTCCTGGAGCTGGCCAAGCAGGTGGGGGAGTTCATCACCTGGAAGCAAGTGGAGTGTCCCTTCGAGCAAGACCCCAGCATCACCCACTACTTGTACACCGCCCCCATCTTCAGTGAGGATGGTAAGGTAGCCCTGCAGTCCCCTTGCCCATGGGACTTTTGGATAGCCTGTCTGTCACCATTCAGGACCCCTACTCTGAATAGGTTAGGGATTCACCCTGCCCACCTAGGCTGGCTCCGGGAGGGAACAATGAGGGCTGCATCCCCCTGGCTGGCCCATTGCCACTCCAGGAGCACAGGATGGGCCTGAGGAGCTGTAAGCTGGGACCTCAAGGACCCCCGGAGCCAGGCTCCTTCCTGGACACAGTTTGGACACCTTTGGAATTCTAAATCAGAACCATCTACCTGTCAGACCCCACTTTCCTCAGTAAAGTGGGGGTGATGATAAGAATCACCCTCCCAGAGCTTACATAGGCAGTGCCAAGCACAGCACTGACTGTGCAGGTGTGTACATGTGTGCAGGTGTTATTACAGGCGTGAGGTGAGGCCTCTTTGCTCCAGAGTGACATTCATTTCTGTCTTCTCCAATAAATAAGCATTTCCATATGATCATTTGTCACATGTAAGTTTGCCTGAAAGTGTGCTAAGTGGGCAAGTCCCAAGGCCCCACTTTCAGGAAGCAGAAGTGGTAGAGAAGCAAGTGGCTTTCTGGGTTTGAGCTGGGGTAGAAGGGCCCTGCCGCCAGCCACTCACCCTGAGAGGGCCTGCTCAGCATGCAGGAGACCTGGCTCCTCATCACAGCAACATGTCACAGAGGGACCCACACTTATGCTCAGGGAGCTCTTTCACTTTCTTTAAAAAAAAAAAAAATAGGGGAGAAGGATCTTTTAATGATTTTGTTTTTGAATACTTTCAACTTTGCCATTTTATTGTTTATATTTTGGAGCTGGGAGCATTGTGGAGGGGGTTTCACTCATATCGGTAGCCACTTCCCCCCACTTCCACCAAGAAGCTCAGCAGCTGATGAATAAACCAGTCTGAGCTGCTTCTACCCCAGTGAGCTGTGAGATAAGCAGTCCTTATCGTCTCTAAGGCTCCCCTGCAGCATCTAGAAAGTGGGAGATATGAGAACCTGCTCCCCAGAGCCACAGTGAGAATGCCTTGAGTTGCCCAGGCAAAGCTCACACAACTACATTCAATCCACACTAGTGTGTTAGTTTCCTATTGCTGCTGTCACAAATCACCACAAACTTGGTGGCCCAAAACAATAAAAATTTATCGTATATACTTCCGGAGATCAGAGGGCTGAAATTAGTTTCTCTGGGCTAAAATCAAGATGTCAGCAGGGCTAGTTTCTTCTGGAGCCCCTGAGAGGAGAATCTATTTCCTGGCCTTTTTCAACTTCTGATGGCCACCTGTATTCCTTGGCTTGTGGCCCCTTCCTTCATCTTCAAAGTACATAATTCCACTCTCTGCTTTCATCATTGCATCATCTTCTCTCCACCATAGTCAAATCTGCCTTTGCCATCCTCTTATAAGGACACTTGTGGCTGAATTTAGGGCCCACACAGATAATCCAAGATATTCTCCCCATCTCCGGATACTTAATTATTAGTCTGCAAGGTTCCTTTTTGCCATAATATTCAAAGGTCCTGGGGATTAGAAACTGGATACCTCTGGGGGCCATTGTTCAACCTACTACCCTAGTTATATGATGATTGTTGTCATTAGCCAGTGATCTCTTCATGGAATTTGGGCATTAAGATGAGCCAAAGACACATGAGGAGAGACAGAGAGTAGTTTCAGGGCAGACAGAGAAAAAAGAGGGGGGCATTTTAATCACTCCTTTAGTCAACCATATGTCTTTAGCGACTGCTGTGTGCCAGGCAGCAATCTGGAAGTTAACACAGAAAAAACCGTGGTCCTCTTGGAGCCCTATTAGAGAGAAGCATCTTCCGTTTTGACTGTCTCTTCCTTTTGTCCCTCCCACAATCCAAAAAAAGTGGAGGAAGGTAGGAGACCTAGGAGGTATTGAACCCCAACTGGGTCAGTTACAGCCCCTGGCAAAAACTTGGCCCTGGCCTCAGCTCCAGGCTTCCCTGGCAGGGCCCGCTGGCAATTAGCCCTGAATCTCATTGAAGCAAATGAAAATATAGAAAGTCTCAGAAAAACAACAACAATAAAACCGGAAGCTGTAAGGAGGAGCCAATGGGAGTTGGAGTTTTAGAGCTGAAAAATATAATAATTGAGTTGGAAAACTGAGTGAATGGGCTTAACAGCAGAATAAAGAAGGCAGAGGAAAAAATCCTTGAACTGAAAGGTAGGACAATAGAAATTATACAATCTGAACAACAGGGAGAAAATAGACTGAAACATAGTTTCAGGGACCTGCAGGATTATAACCAAAGATCCCATACTCATGTCATCAGAGTCTGTGGAGGAGAGGAAAGAGAGGGCAGGACTGAAAAAGTACTCACAGAAATAATGGCTAAAAGTTCCCAGAGTTGGAAAAAACATAAACCTACAGATTCAAGAAGCTGAATGATCCCAAAAAGGAAAAACTAAAGAAACCCATACTAAGACCCATTGTAGTTAAACTTCTGAAAACCGACGAAAAAGAAACAAATCTTGAGTCCAGGCTCAATGGCTCACACTGTAATCTGAGCACTTTGGGAGGTTGAGGCAGGTGGATTAGTTGAGGCCAGGAGTTTGAGACCAGCCTGACCAACATGGCAACACCTCGTCTCTACTACAAATACAAAATTTAACCAGTTGTGGTGGCACATGCCTATCATCCCAACTACTTGGGTGGTTGAGGCACAAGAATCAATTTAACCTGGAAGGCAAAGGTTGCAGTGAGCCAAGATTATGCCACTGCACTCCAGCCCAGGTGACAGAGTGAGACTCTGTCTCAAAAATAATAATACTTTAAAAACAATTTTTTAAAAATATTGAAAGCACTGAGAGAGAAATGACACTTTACCCATGGGGGAAAAACAGTTTGAATGATGTCAAATTTCTCATCAGAAACCATGAGGCCAGAAGACAGTGGCACATTTTTCAATTGAAAAAAAAAGAAAAAGAACCGTCAAGACAGAATCCTATATACAGTGAAAACATCCTTCAGGAATTAATTATAGATAAATCAAAATAGAATTCTAAAAGCTGGTCAGGTAAACCACAGGAAGATAAGAGAAACAAAACAGAGAACAAAACACAGAACAAAAAGAAAACAAAAAAATAGAAAGACAGACTTAAGTCCTAACATATAAATAATTACATTAAATGTAAATGGTCTAAATATACCAAGTAAAAGAAATTGACAAAGCCAATTTTTTTAAATGATTCAACTATATGCTATCTATGAGAAACTCACTTCAAATATAATGATAGAGACATTTTGATAAGTAAAAAAGGGAAGAAAAGATAAAGCATGCTAATATTAATTAGAAGAAAGGAAGAGCAATATTAATTTCAGATAAAGTACACCTTAGAAGAAAGAAAATTACCAGAAACAAAGAATGACATTATATATTAATAATAGGTTCAGTCTCCAAGATATAGCAATCCTAGCTATGTATCCACCAAATAACACAGCTGAAAAATTCATTAAGGAGAGGCTGATCAAACTGAAAGGAGAAATAACAAACCCACAATTACAGTTGAAGACGTCAACACCCTTCTCTCAACATTTGATAGAACATCTAGACAGAAAATCAGCAATGACAAAGTTCGGTAAATGCTGATTAGATCCTGTTTGATGAACTCGACAATATCACCAAACAACAGGATCTAATCAACATTTACTGAACATACAACATTTACTAAACATACATACAAGTGCAGTAGAACACCATTTTTAAAAATTGCTCCCAGAGACCAGGCACAGTGGCTCACACCTGTAATCTCAGCACTTTGGGAGGCTGACGCAGGCAGATCACGAGGTCAGGAGATTTAAACCATCTTGGCTAACACAGTGAAACCCCACCTCTACTAAAAATACAAAGAAATTAGCTGGGTGTGGTGGCACATGCCTGTAGTCCCAGCTATTTGGGAGGCTGAGGCAGGAGAATCACTTGGACCCAGGAAGCAGAGGTTGCAGTGAGCCAAGATCGCGCTACTGCACTCCAGCCTGGGTGACAGAGTGAGACTTGGTCTCAAACAAACAAACAACAACAACAAAAAATTGTCCCCAGAATATAAACCAAGATATACCATACCCTGAGCTATAAAACAAGCTGCCACAAATTTAAAGTAATTGAAATCATACACACTGTGTTCTTCAACCACAGTGAGATTAAAGTTTATGTCAGCAGCATCAGAAAACAGAAAACTCTTCAAACATTTAGAAATCAAATGACACACTTCCGAATAATCCATGGATCAGAGAGGCTCAAGGGAAATTAAACAAATAATTGAACGGACTGAAAATATAATCAAATTTGTGGGACAGCTAAAGTAGGACTGAGAGGGAATTTTATAGCACCAAATGCACACACTAGAAAAAAGGGAAAGTTTCAAATCAATAATCTAAGTTTCTACATCAAGAATCTAGAAAAAGAGGATCAAAATAAACTCAAAGCCAGCAGAAAGGAGGAAATAAGAGCAGAAATCAATGAAACTGTAAGCAGTAAAACAATAAAGTTAATCAAAGGGCTGGTTCTTTGAAAAGAACAATAGGCCGGGCGCGGTGGCTCAAGCCTGTAATCCCAGCACTTTGGGAGGCCGAGGCGGGTGGATCACGAGGTCAAGAGATCGAGACCATCCTGGTCAACATGGTGAAACCCCGTCTCTACT